CTATTATTTATCTTCACAAAATTCTCAAATTTACTCCATAAAAATAATTCCTCAAATTTTCTTAATTAATATAAAACCATAATTCACTTTTCACTAATTATCTAGATTATCCAAAACTATTCATTCCTTACTTTCTACCTATAAAAATCATACATGCATCCTCCAAAAATGTTAAATAAAATATAAAACATATATAGAAATTTTTCCGGACCAAAATAGTACCGATTTTCGGACCGATTGTACTATTCACAGATCGGTGATACTATTCATAGACCAGTAAACTACTATTTCAAACACAAGAAAAATAGGGCGTTACAGCTCTCCCCCCTTAAAGAATTTCTTCCTCGAAATTCACCTGAAATAAACAATTAAGGATGTTGTCTCCTAATATCTTCACTTTTCCACGTAGCTTCCTTGGTCTTCTGGTTTCTCCAAAGAACCTTTACCAGCAATCACTAAAGTATGGGATGGATTCAACTGATCCAAAGTTGACAATTCCTCTGATGACTAGAGTTGGTCATGACATTACACCTTCAAGTAATCAAATAAGTTGAAGTTGGTCAGTGGCGTCACCGAAACCCCTGACGTGTCGTCCTCACGCATGGCTCGCCCTCCCAAACGTGTGCAATAATGAGCCGATCCCCATGTATGCTCGACCGGTCTAATCCTCACTTGACCAGCCTCTACTTTTTTTTATACTCTCTTTTCTTTTCCATACCAACAGCCGGCCACACTGTGAGTTTTTATATTATATATCATCAGATGCACACACGGGCGCAAATCTCCCTATACATGGCCGACGATATCGTAGACTGCCCTCACAAACCCATGATAACCCACTTAATCTCAATTCCATAAAAACAAGGCACAATAATTTTCACAGCACAAGTAATCAAACAATTAATTCAACATAATACGCCGAACCAATCCTTAATACACAAACATAAAAGTATAATAATATAATAATAATAAATAAAATAATAGTATACATATAAAAATAAATACTTAGTTATTTCTTTATTCCTTTAATACACAAAACAAAAAGTATAATTAATATAATAATTAATAAATAAAAATAATAGATACATATAAAAATAAATACTTAGTTATTCTTTATATATATATATATATATTATATAATATATTAATTTATATATATTATACATTTCTATATATATATATACATTTCTTTGTAAAATAAATGATATGCGTATGCAATTATGATATGCGCTATTTATTATTACTCACAGTGATAGAGAATAGAAGAAGCTCTAAATCAAATTTAAGAAATTTAAGAATGCAAGGAAGAATTAAATCAGATAAGACTCATTTAATAAAGAAATAAAGACTTAATCTAATAAGTTATCTACTAATCTAATTACTATAACTAGACTAGATTCTAGTGAAATTTCGGCAGCATCTCCCTTGAAAATTGGACTATCTACCTGTTTAAATATCAATAATGTCATAAACAATATTAACTCAATCTACACAGCCCCTCTCTCGGACAATCAATTAATCAAGTTCACATCCTCCTTTTAACCTCAACATCAACATTCAACTAATACAACCGTTTTACATAAACTTAACTTCCATCATTAATTTACAAATTAAATAACTTTCAATTTGTCTCAATAACATCATTAACCATCCTTTAATCATTTACAACAATTTTTTATTAGTCACTAAGAAACCATGGTCCCATTAACTTATAATTTAATAAATGCATCTTCAAGCAACCCAATTCACAACTTAAATAGATACCAAAACCAACAAATATGAAAACATCGAATATATACTTATCCATTTCATATTAACTTATTAAAAGAACATAAGATATTTAAATATGTTCCTTAACTTAGCCTTATTTACTATGCACAAATAACTCATACCATACTTAAATATAATTCAACTAAAGTTCCATAAATTTTTTCCTCTATTTGTCATCAAAATACCAATTCTAGATTTAGTTAAAAAAAGTTAAAAAAAAAAAAAAAACAAAAACCACAGTCAAATTGGTTTATCTAGCAAAGAATAATATTATTGAATTTAATAACTAACATAATTGTTTATCTAGCAAGAATAATATTATTGAATAATAACTAACATTAGCTCAAGTATTAGTAACAATAATAGCTGTTATATTTAGGCTATGCCTATATCTAGACTAAACTGATCTTGTTTATGCTAAATTCTATACATAAGATTAGCTAGCAATTACCTTAAATTGAAGCATCAATTTGTTTCTCAAAATTTAAATACTAGAATCATGGGACTAAGGTATGTAATTCTGCAATAATTTGAATTATAATTTCAAATCCTCCATTTTGATAAAAGCTCTTAAACCAGTCTCAGAAAGATTAAAAATTTTGCTTACGCTGTAGCAATTCTCAATGGAAATTAAATTTTTCCGAGTAAAATGATCGGAATTTGCACTACTGCCCCAAATCCTATTCTACCGGTGTTAGCTTGGCCTGAGCTGGTGAGGATCGTGGCCGATGAGGTCGCTAGAGGCGTTAGAAGTTGTAATCCGGAAGCCCTTGACTGGTTTCGCCGGAAAGCTGTAGAGAAGCAACGAGTTGACTGTCCCAACGCAACAGATTGCGAAAGCAGCTCCTCGTGTTGCTGCTCCAGTCGAAACAGAAGAGAGAGAGCGAGAAAGGGAGGGATCGTAGCTTTGTCGCCAACAGCTGGAACTGGAGTCGCCGGAAAGTCGTAGAGGAGGCGCGATTTTCCGATCACGAACTTGCAGGTTCCTGCGAAAACTGCGCTAGTCGCGCTAGCCCGAGACAACAAAGAAGAGAGAGAGAGAGAGAGAGAGAGAGAGAGAGAGAGAGAGAGAGCGGCAAGGGGATTGTGGCGGCTGAAGGAGGTGGTGCTAGTCTCAGGCGATCGGGAAAACGAAAATAAACGTTAGGGGAAGGTCTGAAGTCGGTGCTAAAGGGGAAAGATGGGTTTCTAGAATAATCTTGCTTAGGTTTTTGCAAATGATTGGTTTCAAATCAGATTTGGTTCGGTTCAAATCATGATTTTTATGTGATTTTTGATTTTTCAATTGGTTTTCTATTAGCTTTCATTGGTTAAAGTTTGCTTCAACTATATAAAATATATATTTACAATTAATTGGTTAAATAAATTCAGATAGCGTTAACTATTCGATTCTTAAAAATGATAACTTTTATAGTACCATTGGCTAATGAATAATAATTAAATTTTTAAATAATGAATTTTCGAAAATATAATTTCGAATCGTTTCAACTGTCCATGGTGATGCGACCACCGTTGGACCGTGCCCTGGCCGAGCAGGCATCGTCGGTGGTTGGGTATGGTGGTGCGATGGAACATTTTTGGTTTTGGAAGAAAATGATACAAAAGTTTGTTTTGGTCCCTGACTGTTTTCCAGTTATTCAGTTAGATCCAAATCTGTTTTAATTTGTTTCAATTAAGTTTTCAAATTAATTTTAATTGGATATTTTATTAATTTGGAATTAATTAAATTATAAGGGGCATTAAAATTAATTTTTAGCAAATTAAAATTGATTTTAGAATATTTTCTAATTTAGTTAGAAAAGAAAATTAAAAGAGTTTAGTCCGTAATAAAATTATTTAGTAAATTAATTCCTATTAAAAGAGTTTAGTCTGTAACAAAATTATTTAGTAAATTAATTCCTAATTAGATTAGAAAATAAATTGACTGGTTTAATTGTTTGTTAATTCTAATATGATTAGAGTTAGTAAAATTAATTTATAAAATAATTTTATTCTAAAATTATTTTTCATAAGATTTGATATATGAATAAAATTGTTTTATTCATAAATTGATTTTGAAAAACATCAAATATGAAATTTTAATTTTTAAAATTTTAACTTCAGCACGTAAGATCAATAATTAATTTAATATTAAATAGTATTTATAATATGATTATGCATGATGGATGATCATGGACATTAGAAAAATCTATGTGATTGGCTTTATTATATTTGATTGAATAGTTTATGTAACTTTAAATAGGGCCTACATGTCCCGATTCTCTTTTATTTTGGGTTGTAAAATTTCTTATTTATTTCATTCAATTATGTTGTAGTTAGATAATTAGAATATGTAAATAGGATATTGTTTTGTAACCTAAGAAGAAAAGGAGAATTGAAGAAATTACATGGAGCATTGAAGAATCCGAGCCAAGAAGCTACTATTGGGACTTATGAAGATCTAAGAAGTTGCTACCTAGGATTTTTTTGCCATCTAATTTCCTTAATGATCTAAGGGAATTAGTTTTAGAAATGTCCATAATAGTTTTAGAAATGTCCATAATCATCCGATTAGAATGACATGTTAAGGGTGTATATTATGTATGTATGATATATGATATGACCATCATGCCAAAGCATGAAACTTGCGATTAAAATTTAATTAATAAATTCCTTATTAAAATTTTAAGTATATATTAAGATATGATTGATTGCCACCCATTGTTATAGCATTGTTTTTAGCTGAAAACCAACCCATTGTTATAGCATGAAAACCAAAGCTCCCTTACAATTGACTAGTTGGGCAAACCCAAGGTTGATTGTAATCGAACATGTTTAATGCTATCAAATATCTTGAACAATGATTTTACTTAACTAATTTATTTGATTTGGATGAGCAAACTCATTATCAAATAAGATTAGGGCAAAGGTTAGGCGAAACGTAATTGATATGTTTAGACAAAGAGTTGTCACCTAATTGATCTGAGAGTCACATAAAGATGTGATTGATAAGCTATGTAATCTACATAAATTGATTCAATATAACTTGTCGGGAAAATCCAAGATTATATGGGTTAATTGGGATCTTAGCCTACTAGGAGATCTAAACGCTGGATTTCCCGAATTAATAGAAAGACTATTAATTTGAATAAAATAGTGGGAGACTTAAATTAAAATTAAAGACCTTATTTAATTTAGTATTGTATGATATTAATATTTGAAATCTCTATATTTGTAGATCAATTATCATAATGAGTAATAACCTATGTCTGCGTAGCATACTAGATGCTAATAAACTGACTGGACCAAAATTTATTGAGTGGTATCGCAATCTGAGAATGGATCTCAAGCAAGAGAAGAGGTTATATGTCCTTGATAAGAACAAACCTGATATTCCCGCTGATAATGCTATTGAAGAAGAAAGGAATAACTTCATTCGTCATACTGATGATGACAAGCAAGCAACATGTGTGATGTTAGCCAGCATGAGTTCTAAACTTCAAAAGCAACATGAGAAAATAGATTCTCGCATCATTATCTTGCATCTCAGGGAGCTGTTTGACTCCCAAGGTAGGTCTGATAGGTATGAGAGCTCTAAGGAATTGTTCCGTTGTAAGATGGTAGAAGGCTCTTCAGTTTGTGTTCACGTTCTGAAGATGATTGGCTATATTGAAAAATTGGGCCAATTGGGCATTGCCATGGACCATGAGCTGAGTATTGACTTAGTTTCATAGTCCTTACCACCCAGCTATTCACATTTCATGGACCATGAGCTGAGTATTGACTTAGTTTCATAGTCCTTACCACCCAGCTATTCACATTTCATTTTTAATTTTAACATGCTTACCACTGCTGAAGGAGCCCTTAAGAAGGATACAACTCCTATATCCTTCTAGTTCAGTCTTCTAAGGCTAAGAATAAGCCCAAGAAGAAGCAGAATAAGAAGGCACTGAAGCCTAATGGAGGTGTGACTGTAGAAAAGGGTACGTGCCACCACTGTGGCAAAGATGGCCACTAGAGGAGGAACTGTAAGGAATATCTTACAACTGTGAAAGCAAAGAAGCTTGCAGAAGCTTCTACTTCAGGTATGTTTATGATTGAAATTAATCCTTCTATTTTTAGTTCTTAGGTATTAGATACCTAATATGATTGTCATATTAATAACATGCAGGAAAACTAAAGAAAAGTAGAAAATTTGAGGCCAAGATGGACCCTACGTATAAGCCTGTTGGAGCAAGCTTACTTAGCTGTAGAAACATATTTTGGCTTAGTATTAGAATTAAATAAATTGTTATTTTATTTAGTGCTTACGTAGAAACATTGTTTTTTCAGTTTCGTGTTAAGTTTGAATAATGGCATCAAATTTATTTAAGTGAGAATTAATAGTGTTCTTTTTAATAATAAAGATATTTTTTATGAACTGTAATAATAAAGATATTTTTTATGGAACTGAAATCAATATAGATGATTTATATAATGTTTATATTGATTGACTCCTCATCAACATAAACTGTAAGAAGTTTAAAATAGATAATAAAACTTATCTTACCTTTAGCATCATAGACATGTTCACATTAGAGAAACAAAAATCATTAAGTTGCATAAAGAAGGTTACTTTGAACCTTTTTGATTATGAAGCATATGAAACTTGTGAATTCTGTTTAATGAGTAAAACAGTTAAAACACCTTTTACGTGAAAAGGTGAAAGGTCAAAAGAATTATTGGACCTATTACATTCAGATATATGTGGACCAATTATTTTCCAAGCCATAGGTGGATGTGAATGTTTTATTATATTTACTGATGACTATACTAGATATGGTTGTGTGTATATGTAACGAAACACAAATCTGAATTTTTTTTTTTTTTTTGAAAAATTCAAGGAATTCAAAATTGAAGTTGAGAAACTAACTAAAAGTATTAAAACACTTGGATCCGATCGACGCAAAAAATACTTAAGCTAAGCGTTTTGAGATTATCTATTATAAAATGTGAATTGTATCTTATTAGATATAGTACAATCCATGATGAGTCTTGCAGAATTATTTTCATCCTTTTGAGGATATGCCTTAATAATGTGATCTACCTTCTAAATTGAGTTCCATCCAAATATGTTAATAAAATTCATATAAGATGTGGGCCAACACACTTATGTGAAGCATTTGAGATTTGATAAGCTATGAGCTAAATCAGATAAATGTAAGTTTGTGGGATATCTAAAAAAAAATTATTGGATATTATTTCAACCATCTTGTTGAGAGAAAAATATTTATCTCAAAACATGCTACCTTTCTAGAAAAGGTATTTATCCTTAAAGGAAGCAGTGGGAGCTAGCTGGTAGAACTTGTAAAAGTTCAAGAACCTCAAATATACATTAAAAATGGAACTAGAACAAAAGAAAAAGTTCAAGAACCTCAAATATACATTAAAAATGGAACTAGAACAAAAGATTGTTACATTAGATTAATAGTTAAAATACATTGGTTAAAGAACCACAGCGTAAATTTGATAGGATGAGTCGTGCTCCTACAAAGGTTGGACCTTCTTGTGGAGACTCGAACCTAACAAATATAAAGAGAAATGTTCGACATTTACTTGCAATTGCAGCGTATTATGTTTAGAAATTTATCATATTGATGTCAAAATTGCATTCTTAAATAGCAAATCTAATGATTTTTGAATCAAAAGAATTTCCTAATATAGCATGCAGACTGCAAAAGTCCATTAGTAGACTTAAGCAAGCCTTTGTGGAATGAGAACATCCGTTTTAATGAAATAATCAAATAGTTTGATTACATTAAAAATGTGAATGATCTTTGTGTGTATAAGAAGGTCAGTGGGAGTGGAATGATATTTCTTATTTTGTATGTTAATAACATATTAATAATAGGAAATTACATTCTACTACTCTAAAATCTATAAGGATAGATTCGATAGGCTCCTAGGATTATCTCAATCCACATATATTGATAAAATGCTAAAATAATTTAGCATGGAGGAATCCAAAATAGGATACCTACTTATATATCAATCTGATCCGGATGAAAGTCACTGGACTGCTGTTAAAACTATCCTTAAGTATTTAAAAATAAGTAAGAATATTTTTCAGTTATGGAGAAACTAATGAACTAAATGAACTAAGACTATCCTTAAGTATTTAAAAATAAGTAAGAATATTTTTCAGTTATGGAGAAACTAATGAACTAAGATTAATGGATATATTGATGCCATAGGATAAAACACATGGGTAATTGGCTTTAGTGCAAGTGGGAGATTGTTAGTTATATGTCCTATAGCCAATTTGATTGGTTATATTTGTGGGTCCCATATATGTATGCACAACCCAAGAGGGGGGTTGAATTGGATTTTCTAAAACTAAAAATTTAACTTTCAAAAGCAAAATCAGAATTCTGTTGTAGCGGAAATAGAATGCATTTGTGAGAGTAAGTTATTGAGATTAGAACTTCCTCACAAAGCTCTAAGCAGAAAATAAAAAGACTTTGTAAATATCAGCTATTGATTAGAACTGCTTCACAATATCTTAATCAATTTCAAAACTACTTTTTTGAAGGAAAGTTATCTTAATCAATTATATGGTTGAGTTTTTAAAATGCAAGAGCTTCCCCTTATTTTCAAAAAGAGTCCCCTTTACACACCTCTCAATGCCTATTTATAGGCAAACGAGGGTGGGTGGCCCCATTTTAGGGTTGATGTGGCAAAAAGCCAATGTTGAACCCTGCAACGGGACCCAGCCCACTTTTATAAAATCAGACCAGGTGGCACGCAAAATGAGGTGGTGCAATGGAAAGTATGTCAGGCGAACCCGACGCGCTTCCAAGGCACGGTTTCGTCACGAAATGCCTGGTAACCCGAAAAGATAAAAGTGGTTAAACACATCAATAATCTTAGACACGGACCATTGGTCCAAAAAACAAGGTGATCGGAAATCCGGATCCAATTTTATGTAAAAAAACGGTGAATCATCACTGAACCTTTTAGGGCAAAATTTAAGCGTCTATAGTTTGCCCCCACTTTGATAATATTTTTTTTTTCAAGAAAAATATCATCAAAATGTAAAGTAGACACGTAAGTAAGAAAATACTTACCTGGTTTGTGTGAAATGCACGGCTTCAGTGGATGAAGTGCACCATCTTGGCAACTTTGGGAGGTTGTCCTTCCAGTGGTGAAAGGCGGAATGTGATGCACCACACGGCCAGCTTTAACTAGGGATACTTCGATCAGCCCAGTATCATTACGGCATTTGACGGTGGGTGAATTGCTTCAGGGTGGCTTTTGACGACTTCTACACCTTCAGGGTGGCTTTTAACTGGTGATATTTCGATAAACCAGTACCATTACGGCATTTGACGGTGGCGAATTGCGTCAGGGTGGCTTTTAACCGGTAATATTTCGATCAACCAGTACCATTACGGCATTTGACGGTGGCCAATTGCGTCAGGGTGGCTTTTAACGACTTCTGCGACTATCTTGCGCCAGTTGGGGGCTTTAAGTTGATAATGCTCCACTTCGGAAGATTGACCTTTCCGAAGGGGAGAAGCGAAATGAGATGCACCACATAGGACAGCTTCAGGGGTGCGCCAGTTTAGATAACTTCAACGGATGAATGAGTACGATACTTTGATCAACCCGATTTTTGAAATGCTCCATTTCGGGAGATTAACCTTCGGACGGTGAGAGGTGGAATGAAATATGCCACATAGGACGGCCTCAGGGGTGCGCCACTTCGGACGGCTTCAACGGATGAATGATTACGACACTTCGGTCGACCCGATTTCTGAAATGCTCCACTTCGGGAGGTTGTCCCTCGCATGGTGAGAGGCGGAATGAAATGCGCCAGACAAGACGGCTTCAGGGGTGCGCTACTTTGGACGACTTCAACGAATGAATGAGTACCACATTTCAGTCGACCCGATTTTTGAAATGCTCCACTTCAGGAGGTTATCCTTCGGATGGTGAGAGATGGAATGAAATGAGCCACACAGGACGGCTTTAGGGGCGCACCACTTCAGACGGCTTCAACGGATGAATGAGTACGACATTTCGAACGCTGCGGTTTCTAAAATGCTCTACTTTGGGAGGTGGGCCACTTCGGACGACTTGGGGAATGCTCCAGTTGGGGAGATGCGCCATTTCGGGAGGTGCGCCACTTCAGACAGCTTTGAGAAAGCTCCACTTCGGGAGGTGCGCCACTTCAGATGACTTTGAGAAAGATCCACTTTGGGAGATGCGCCACTTCAGACGACTTAGGAAAAACTGCACTTCGGGAGGTGCGCCACTTCGGACGGCTTAGGGAAACTTCCACTTTGGGAGGTGCGCCACTTCGGATGGCTTAAGGAGAGCTCAACTTCGGGAGGTGCACCACCCAAAGTGGCTTAAGGGATGTGCCACTTCGGACGGATTAGGTTCTAAAATGCTCCGCTCGGGAGAAGTACCTCCATAACAACTCTTGCAATACAAGGGAAGAGGCTCTCCGGTCAATTATGGTTAGAAATTTTGTGATTAGGCTCGGAAAAGCATGCGCGTGTGGCACGTTATTTTAGCATAAATATGGGTGATTGTGCATAAAAATGCGTGATTTCACGTGGACTCAAGCGAATTCGTGCGTGTGTGTGTGTGAATTCCCGTGAGTGTGAATTTGTGTGTATTTTATTAGAAATTATGTCGCGACACGCAAAACAACGCGATTTACTTGTGGCCAATGGTGTGTTGCCCCTGCTTAGGCGGCTAGCTGTTGACGGGTTACCGACTAAGCATGAGAGCTGGATGCAGCAAGTGGATCTTCGGGCTTAAAGGCTTAAGTTGGGCCTTAAAGCCCATTATTCTTTATAAAAGGTAAAAGTGACACTCATTTGTCACTTTCAACCTAACTTTTAAATTTCTTCTCCCTCAAATTCTCTCTTTTCTAACTAGGGGAGAGAGAGAGAGAGAGAGAGAAAGAGAGAGGGAGAGAGAGAAAGAGAGAGGGCGAGAGAGAATATGTTGAGCAACCTAGAGAGAGAAGAAAGAAAAAGAAAAGAAGTCTAGGGTTTCTAAACCATTCCGGTTCAATTCGAACCAGTTTGGTCCAACTCAGCGATTTAGCCTAGTTTTCATTTGATTTAAAGGTTTTTCATCCGGTATGAGGATTCCAACTAATTTACGGATCTGGTTTAACAATAATAAAATATTTTCTTTTAAATTTTATTGTATAATTCAATTATTTTAAATTAAAAATTAAATTTTTAAATGAAAAATCTATGAAATTTTATTTTTGGGTTATTTCACCTAATGGGTAGATCGAATCTAGGTTTTATGGTCAATAAAATTATACATAATAATCGATAATAGTAGTAATAGCATCACCAAAATTTTTCCATCTTTATATATATTACGATAGATATTACTAATACTATATATAACTAAAGACATACTATATATATATATAATATATATATATAATATATATAGACACATGAATAAATTGTAATAGTAATACTACGTATATTGATATACGAATAAATTGTAATAGTAATACTATATATATAATAATATGAATAAATTGTGATATATATAGTAATATGAATAAATTCAGTGTGCAAAAATTGCAAAATTGAGGTGATAATATTATAGATTATATTACAAATTATATAGTTTTATAGATTATTATTATTGTTATTGTTATTATTATTATTATTATTATTATTATTATATAAGTCCATAAATTAGAACTAATATATGGCATGGATAGAGGATTTAGATGAGCCGACTCGAGTTGAACCTGCCAAGCTCGAAGCTCGGCTCGATAAAATTTAGTTCGGCTCAAAAATCAATGAGCCTGAAAATTTAGGCTCGAGCTCGACTTGAGACTCGAGTTTAACTCACAAAATTTTAAGCTCGAGGCTCGAGTAATCTAAAATAATATTATATATATGTATATATAAAAGCTCGATAAGGCTCAACAGACTTTCGAGCTGAACATCATTAGATTCGAGCCAGGTCGTTTGCTAAATGAATAGGCTCGAGCCCAAGTTCGATTCGAGCTGAGCTTTTCGAACCGAATTCAAATAATTCGTAAGTCAGCTCGACTCATTTATACCTCTAGCCTTGAATATTCCCCCGCACAACCGAAGAAAAATTGGAAGCTGAATTGTGATGTATTAATCACAGCCCCCTTTTCAAGTGATTTCCCCCCTTTCCTGAAGCTTTGCTGAAATCATGTATTTTTCCAGCTCATCCCACACGCTGCAATTACTTTTTTGTCCTCCATTTCTTTTAATGCATCTCAATCGTATACCTATTGTATACCTCTTTGATTTCGTTATCCGATGACCCCGCTTTGCACTTTTAACATTATTTTATTATCGTGATTTGGAACGAATCATTCCATGCATCGTTTTCCTACACTATTTTAGGTACATATTAAATATGATGATAATAATATAATATATTTATTATTATTTTTAATAAATTTTTAATTTAAAATTTTTTATTAATTAATTATAATTAATTTATAATTATTTTCTTACAAGCAACTATATTTATAAAAAATAAATATAATTTATCTATTATTTATCAAGAAATTATATTTATAAAATTTATTATTGATATAAAATGAAAATAAAAAAAATCTCACTTAAAAATATTATTAACAAATTATATACTACCCTCCGTTTCCATTAATACTTGTCACATTTATTGTTTCAATGACTAATAAATCTTTTTTTGTCCATGTTACCCTGATATTGATCAATAATTATGTTACTTCCAATTTAAATAGTTTTCTTTAGAGAATTAATATTAAATTAAAGTATATAGTCAACTTACTCCAATAATTTTGTAAATTTAGACAAATTAGTGATTTTCTTAAGGATTGTGAAATTCCAAATGTTACAATATTATGGAACAGGAGGTAGTATATTATATAACATGTTTTGAAAAAACTGTTATTCTCAAAAAAAAAAAAAAAAAAAAAAAAAAGAAACCATCAAATTAATTATATGCTTTCATCAGACATTAGCCAAAAGTTAAAAAAAAAAAAAAACAACAAACGATATCAACTATCTATTTATAATATATATTATTCTATAATATAAATTCAAAACATAGTAAGTCAAACTAATCCTCATTTTGAGAAAATTTTCTCACGTTGTATCTTATTTTCACTTTATTTCATTCATTTATTTATTTAATATATTTTTATTTTCAATATTTATTTACTACACTTTTAAATAATTTATTTTGAAAATTAATTCTTTTTTAGTTGATTTGTGTTGTTATTGCCTAATTTATATGAACTCCATTGGAATAATGACGAGAAAATAGATTTCTCAATATGCAATATTGCATTAGCAACAGACTTAATCTTCATAGTGAAAAATTCATTGGTGGTCGGGACCGTGATGGTCGTTCATCTCCAGTTTGCGGACGGATAAAATCTCTGAGATTGACCAGACAATTGGGTTGGTTTGACTATTCCTTTTTATGAGTCATCTATCTAAAATTATATATTTTTTACTGTTTTTTTTTAAACTAATGCAATAATAAAAATTTATTATTTTCTCTGAGATTGACCAGACAATTGGGTTGGTTTGACTATTCCTTTTTATGAGTCATCTATCTAAAATTATATATTTTTTACTGTTTTTTTTTAAACTAATGCAATAATAAAAATTTATTATTTCAATTGACAAAAATATGGAAGCTAATATTAGTTTCTCATATTTTAGTAAAATATATAATTTATGATATATTATATTATACACGAAAAAATTAAATTAATTAGATTTAAATTATTTTAAGAAATTTTGAGTTGCTTGATAAGTAATTTTACTTTCAAGAAAATTTGGTTACTCAAAATATAATAATTCTTTCCTTATAACAAGTCTTATATTTACAAAGTTCATAAAATTTGTTTAGACAGTAGAGTAAAATCCAAATGTAAATATAAGAAATAAATTGATTCATGGACAACATAATATTAGCAAAAGCCGTCATATTAGCAGAGCCATTGCAGCAAGTCATAAAAGAAGAGGTCATAAGCATCTACACCGTAAAATCGATTTTTACATGATAGATCCGATCATACACATTTGTCTCGTACATTGTGAAAATGGTGAAAGATTATTTTATACCTCCATAAGAGCTATAATTGAAACTACCATTATTTTTTAATACAAAGGTTCTTATAACAATGATAAATACCCTATCTTTAACTTCAGTTTAAATTGATCTACATATTTAAAATTAAATTTACAACAAAACCTAGAAATCGATCACTAATCCAATTTGAATACGTCTAACTAATCCTAACCAATCAGATACCTTAATAATGATAAAAGCATCTATAATTTCAAGATATTGCAAATGAGAGAACAATAAAACTAAGAAAGAAAAAGATTCACCCATCACTTTCAGCTCAAAGACACTGCTCTCTCATACTAACAAAGTCAACTTCTAGCAAGGTTTGATCCCAAAAATCCAACACCATCCACAAAAGAAACCAACAGAAAACTATCTGCCCACATTAATGTTTCACTATATACTGCATTATGTCTTTCCTAACAACTCCTTCAAAACTCCATGCTCTGCCAATGTTGTAGCTTGGATTTGCCATTTCTGGCCTGCTGATACACAAGTGTCTATACTGGGTAATAGTTCCAGCAGGTCTTGTTGACCGCATCATCATTCCAATTGTAGGAAAAGAATTTGACCACAGATTCCTCGATGAGGTGAAGAGATGCCGATTGGACTCATGGCTTCTGGAAGTGTGGTTACTCCCAGGAGTTTTCAGGAGGGAAGACTTAGTTTCCTGCTTTGTCATGTTTGTATTTGAGCCAGCACCATTTGGGGGTATCATCTCAGAGGGACCACGGATCTGAGCAGAAGGTTTCATTCTGTCCAGCCATCGCAGAATCCAGTTACCAACATTCCGACCAACTTCTATATCTCTCTGTTGTATATTCCGGTGAACCTTGAGTGCAACATCAAAAACATCACGTGTTCGCCTATGATATTGGAAGAAACAAGTTAAGCCTTTATTACACTAATGACTATTAAGAGCTTGATGAATTCCACATTTTTACTTCTATTGAATCAGTTATGTTTAGACTAAATTCTACCCAAATTGGGAGGATTTAGTCTAAAACTAGTCAAGATAATAAGAGTAACAAGGATGCTACTAAAGATACTACTAAAGATAACAAGTTCCTAGTACAAACTAGGAAAGCTAGCTATTTAAAATGAATACGATAGTTAATTCAAACATAAAAATTCACTTACAAATCAAAACCTTTTAGTACATTTCATATGAATTTGTTCAGAACACCATTTAAGTTCAAAGATATCCAATAATAATAAAAATGGACTGCAGGTATCGTCAACACTGCCCTCCCCAAAAAACCCATAGCAGTTAGTGCGGAGTGCTGCTAATTAAATAACAGAGGAATAACTGTACTATAACATGTAAGATAAAGAGGCAATTACAAACAAAATTTTAGCATTACGAAGGATAATACTGAGAACTTCCCAAGCCTAGTGGTCATCCAAATATGCTTTTATCAGCAACAATGGTATGCAATCAAAATCTAAACATGGTCAGAAAAGTCTGTACAAGACAAAATATAGCACTTTAATTTTGATACCAGTTATTTATTCTATGTTAAGTCTATTACAATTTCGTTAGTAACGACTAGTACTTCCTTCTGTTTTTTATGAAGAAATCAGTAAACTACTTCCAAAATTAAGAACTTCCATAAAACTCTCCTGAGGTAACATTGAAAAAGAATTCTCTACACCTTTGGTCATCCAAATAAGTTCGTAAACTATAAGTTATAAAATCCAAGAAGATATATCCAGTCATAAATAATAATAAATCCCCTTAATGTACCTTGTCCTATTACATTTAAGAACCTAGGGAATGCTGAAAATAAAACAATCGTCTCTATAATGTCCCCAAATCTCGAATCATCAAGAATTTCAGGCATTTAAAATTTTAAGAATAAAATTTATAAATTAAACACACTTCTATCTAAATCTGAATGGAGAAAGGATCCTGTTGTGTTCACGCACTCAAGATCGTGTCATAGGTCTATTAAGAGTAAAATGTGATTCAAAAGCTAAAGCTTTTGTTTTACCACAATTCTTTCCTCGACCTATTGTTGCAGAAAATTCGGAGTACATTAAAAGGGAGCTCTAACCTTAGGCTTGTTAAAGGGAGCTCTAACCTTGGACTCGTTAGAGAGAGTCTAGATCTCAATGTAGTTGGTAATAATTCTGCTTATTTTATTTCATGATTAAAGCCTCCAATTTATAGAGGAATACAAGTACTAATGTCAGTGGAATTTTGCAATTATCCCAAAAGTAAATGTACTTTGATAAAGTTCAACAATGTAACTGTTCCTAAATGACACAAATTCACAAAGATATTAGATAAGTTTCCCATATAATAAAAATTAATAAATCAAACATAAAAAAGATCACTGGGTCAGAGGATCAAGCCAAAAGGGTCTTGTTTAACCAACCTATCTTTCTATCGGAGATAACCAAAACTATATCAAGATTCAGAGCAGTAAGTACATATCCAAATGAAAATCTCTAATCAGTTAATAATATGTCTTATAACACAATCAAAATGAGAAGATTCTACATTTAAACTTACTGTAACAGCAAAAACAAACAAACAAACAAACAAACAAAGCATAAGCATTCAAGAAAGGAAATGGAAAATGAGAACCCATAATCCATACCTTTGAAGAAAGTGACGGATCTTAGAACGTTTAGAGGATATGAGCTTACGTTGAATCTTCAAAGCGAGCCTGTAAGTCCGTCTCAGGCCCAAGAAATACGCAGTTCCCAATGCGATCTCCCATAGCACCATCTTGTTTCTTTCTCTGTATTCTACAACCTTTTCAATTTAACAAAGCACATATTTCTTTGGAAGCAAGTCAGGAACCGAATCAAATTGATTCTTGTTGATGCTGAGAAAGAAGGCAGTAAACAATGACGTTTCTCTTCTGTGTGCGCCTTCTCTTCCATCGCCACCGTTGGATCATTTATTAATTTTCATCTGGAATGTTCACAAACTAAAGGGCCTATGGATTGGAGCCCACATCTATACTGAATATTTCAGAAATAAGCAGTTTTTAGTTTGAGGCCCAGAATGAGGTGAACCTCAATATTGAACTTTTTTGAGTAAATATTTTGAACTTTTTAACCGGGCCCAATAAAAAATTAGTTGTAAAATTTGTTAACTTTGCATCCCTTTCAAGTTGAAATGAAGGTGTGTTGTTAAATGCCTTTAAAGCGAGTGAGTAGTAAAACAAAAAGGTCTAATTACCTGTTAAAGGGATTTACAACAGTAAGTTTCCTTGACCGATTTATTTTTTTTTCATAAATATTCAAATTTTGTATTACTTTTTTTTGTTTCCCTCTAACTAATCAACATCTAATGTCTCATCATGCATAGGAAATTTGTTGGATTGAGCTTTAAATTTCAACAGCAGTGAGATCATGGAAATAACATGACAATTTTATAATCTGGTTATGCAGCTTGTTTACCCATCTTTCCATTTCGTCAGAAGACAATGTAAGCTTAAGGAAAAATTGATTTACAATCTAATACAGTTCAAAATATGAGGATAAAAAACATGCCACAAGTGCAGATCTAAAGATATTGGAGAAGGATGTTGGTGATTGTTCCCTAAAATCATTAAATGCGTCACTCTTCCTTGGAGATAATGATTTCTTTGTTCCTCTTTAAAAGTTACGAAACCAAAAATATCTAACCGTAATTAAGAGCTTTAACTGTGATCCCCACTAAAAATACATGAAGGGAGGGGCAATTACCCATATTATTTCCTTTATATGGTATTAAAACCTCGGCCAATTCTCCTACCAATAGTCAAATTATTGCAGCTAGTCAAACAACCCTAGTTCCTATGACTTCTAACCCAATCTCAACATCTCATTCTTTCTCCATTTTACACCAAAAAACTCTCTCCTAGAAAACCCACTTTCAGTCCTGACTCCTTGCATCCTTGACGGAAGAAGTTTTTCCTTACGTCATTAGACTTACCTCCTCCCATTAAGTGTGGCAAGCTTTAGCCAATTGCTTTGGCTCTACCTCTCAAAATCACAATGGCAGCTTCATATTGAACTGCATGAATTAAAGAAAAATGACTGGAGTATCTCACAGTACCTTCATCGTGCTAAAAGTTTGGCCGTTGAACTTAGCACTGCTGATCTCACCGTGTTCCCACCCGAGTTTAATGTAATTATTTATAGGAATATTTGTAGCAAATTTCTGTTAGTGTAGTTAGTAGATTACATGAAAAATATACAAAAGGTTACTGGTGTTTATAAAATAGATGGTGGGAAAATATGGATGAAACCAAAATTTGACTAGTTTAAATATTTACTTCAAAAGAATGGGCACTTGGGCCTTGGGCCTAAAATAATTAATTTATTAATATTTTATTTTTCCAACTTTATTATTGTTATTATTATTATTATTATTATTATTATTATTATTATTATTATTTAATTAATTTTAAAAATTATTTTTTTATTTAAATTCGAAATTAATTAATTAATACAAGTAATAGTTGTTTTTATCAGTTACTAATTTTAAATAAAACAAAATTACTAAGTGCCAGTTGAAAATAGTTTGTAATTAAGTTCCCTTACAATTATAAAAAAATTTTTCTACAACCCATACGATCATTTTTTTTTGAATTTTCTTGTGTTCAATACTGTTTTGTAAACCTCTGGAAGAATACTGCAAATAACCCATAGTACAAAATAGTTGAGGCCTTAATTCCTTAAGGATAGTGAATACACTATTAGAGCAATTTTCTATTTTTCCACAGTCTGTATCATTTATTTCTAACAATCTTAAGGAATTAAAGAATTTTTTTTTTTTTTTTTTTTACACTATAGAGGCTATTGGATGTAAGATGTTCAAATCTAACATGCTAAATTGGATCTTTCTGATGGAACCAATTTCACTCGCAGGAAAGATAGGTTGTTGTTCTTTCTTATAGGATTGGGAATTGCTTATCTGCGGAGTACGGATGTTCCTATAATTCCATAACCAACTGATAAAGATTCTGAAGAACTGAAAGCAACTCGCAAGAAACGTGAGAAAGATGAGGTTCGCTGCAGATGTTTTATTCTAAACTCTCTCTCTCTCTCTCTCTCTCTCTGATAGACCGTATGATTTATTTTGTCTTATTAAGTCACCACTAGAAATCTGACTGGCCTTGGAAAATAAATACACTTTTGAAAAACAAGGCACAAACAGATTTCTGAATATGAAATTCTTTGAATTTCAGATGATAAATGGAAAATCTATTATGGATCCAGTTGATGAATTGCTTGTGTTAGTGTCTAGACTTAAAGACTTTTAAAATTGATGTTTTTGAATCACTTCAAGTAGCTACTGCGATTGCAAAATTACCAACCACTTAGAATGATTACAAAAAGAAATTATTGCATACTTTTAAGGAATTCACTATTGATCAATTAATAAAGCACGTTAGAATAGAAGAAGAAACAAGAACTCGTGATAAAAAATATGCTTTAGTCTCAAATTCAAAAGTGAATATTGTTGAGTCTAGAAAAACAAGCAATTCTGAAAATAAGTTTGTAAAGAAAAGAAAATATGAAGGTAATTCTTCTAACAATAAGAAAAATAAAAGTTGTTTTCATTGTGGCAAAAAGGGACATTTTAAGAAAGAATGCAGATTTTGGAAGAAGGTTAAAGCAGAAGATAAATTTGGATAGAATAAAGCAAACATTGTTGAGCAAGATATTTCTCAGATATTGTTGCTATGGTTACTGAATGCTATATGGCAGCAAGTGAGAAATCGACAGATTGATGGTTTGATTCTGGTGCTACTGTTCACATTTGCAACAACAAAATTTTTTTAAAAACTTATCAAGTTGCAGGAAATGATAACAAAGTACTAATGGGAAATCAAGATACTGTCAAGGTTCATGGAAAAGGAATAGTAAAACTAAAGTTTACTTCTAGAAAGAAATTAACCTTGTTAAATGTTTTTCATGTCCTTGATGTTAGAAAGAATCTAATTTCTGCAATATATTGAGTAAGAAAGGACTCAAGGCTATAATAAAGGCAGAAAAAGTAATATTTTCTAAGAATGGTGTGTTTGTAGAACAATGATACTCTTGTGATGGCATGTTCAAATTATCCATTAATAAAATTGATGTTTTTGTTTGTATTATTGAGTCTTCTTCTGATTTATGGCTTGTAAGATTAGCTCATGTTAATTTTAGATCAATCATATTTATGTCTAAACATGATAAAAAATGTGAAATATGATATATGTGAAATGTGAAATTTGCATGATAAAAAATGTGAAATATGCATACAAGCAAAGATGGCTGAGAAATCATTTTCAAAAATTAAAAGAATAACATAATTACTTGGACTTGTATATTATGATATATGTGAATTAAATGGTCACTTAACAGAGTGGAAATAGATATTTCATTACATTCATAGATGATCATTCTAGATTTACATATGTTTATTTAATGAGAACAAAAGATCAAGCATTTGATAAGTTTAAAAGTTACAGACTATTATTAGAAAATTAATTGGAAAAGAAAATTAAATTTCTAAGAAGTGATAGAGGAGGTGAATATTTTTCCAATGAATTTTCTATATTTTGTGAAGAAAATGGCTTGATTCACCAAGCAAGTGCACCATATTATCCCATAACAAAACGGATTAGCAGAAAGAAAAAATAGAACATTGGTTGATGATAAGTTTTTTCGCAAGTGCACAAAATCGTAAACAAGTAATAAAGAGTGAGTAGAGTATCGTTCCCACGAGGATCGTATACCAAGTACCAAAATTGTGTTAACCTACTATTATTTAAACAAAAATAAGGAGAATTTTTTTAAGAAATTAAATTAAAAGAAATAAAAGAGAATAAAAAGAAATCAAGCAAGACAATTTGATGAAAAGAAATCAAGGATTAAAAACTATTAGGGAAAAAACTTGACAGCGGTTTTCGCAAGTGTACGAAATCGCAACAAGTAATATAGAGTAAGAAAGTATCGTATCCATAGGGATTGTTTCTCAATTACCAAAATTATGTTAACCTATTATTATTTAGACGATGATGAAAGGAATTCGCTGTAAAGTAAATAAAATTCAAAGTAAAAGAGATTAAACACAAAATTTAGGTGAAAAGAAATCAGGGGATTAAGCTACTAGGGAATTTGATTTCATTTAATTCCATCCAGCCTATTCTATTAGTTCATTAATCAAGTTTAATTGTTCAAGTAGGAGAAAACAACCCTAAGGTTACTAACAAGCTCTCCCGATTTATTGTTAGCTATTAACCCGACTTAAAATCAACCTATTTTTCAATAGTGCAGTCAAAACATTTGAATTAAATCATGAAGTTTCTATGATTTGTTTATGAATTCAATTATCCTAAGGTCATTTAACATATAGAAAACCCCTCATGAGTTAAACCATATAGCTCCGCGTCAAGTTATTTATTCTCTGTAATTTATTACCTATTTCATATCAAAAACCCTTTCTCCCAATATGATTAATGAAATAACATCAATCCAGGGGAGAAACATTGCCTGGGAAAGCATTAAGTCAATAATAAATTATTATCATGAACAAGGAAAAAAGCAAATCTAATATTATAAATTGAAATCGAAATTAAAGCTACGTCAAATTACCTAGTTGAGAGTTTAGTTCGAACATTAGTAATTAAATAAAACTCAATTAACTTGCTAAAAATCCCATAAAGAATTAATTAAACAAAAAGACGGGTTTAGAAATAAAAACTAGTCCAACGATAGGTTGAACGCTTCCTCTGAATCTTGATTCTCCAACTTGATTGCTTAAAGTTTTGTTAAAGGAGAAAATTATTGTAGAAATAATAGAACAAGAGATGGAATATAACCAATGAAATGGATTCCACACTCGATCATGGCTAAGTCTCTCTCATGGCTAGTCTCTCTCTTTATATAGACTTTCTGGAATATCTTCATGTTC